GGGACCACAGGCACAGTGACATCTCAGGCACAGTGACATCCCAGGCACAGTGAGTCCCAGGCACAGTAACATCTCAGGCACAGTGATATCCCAGGCACAGTGGGACCTCAGGCACAGTGAGTCCTAGGTCACACTGTGCGTGGTTCCCGCGGGCTGTAGGCACAGGGCTCGCTCGTCTTTCTTGCTGGCTGAGTTTTTCTCAGCTTTATCCTTCCCTGACTCCAACATGCCAGGCAGGGCATGTGTGTCGACTTCAGGCCTCAGACATGGTTGTTAACACTCACCCTCTTCCTCACAGTCAGGACGGGAGGCTGCCCTTATTGTCAGTGACCCGTCCCTGTCTGAGAGCCGGATTGCAAAGGCAGCAGCCCAGACAGGGCTGATTGTGACCAAAATGAGAAAGAAAAGCTCTTGCTGCTGCTCACCCTTCTGTTCTGCTGACAGGAGCTGCCCACTGGCTCCACCTGGGAATGGAGGACCTGCCTCAGAGTCCCTTTGAGGTTGGGATCTGTGAGCAAACCTAAAAACCGATCATCACAATAACTGCCATGTCAAAGAAGACTGTTGCATCCCTGAATGCATTTAATCCCCAGTCCCCTGGCCATGAAGCAGATAAGCAGAGAGAGGGTTAGTTCCAGATCTCCCTCATTAAAAACATCTCATTTCTACCATGATGACTTTCACCTGTACATGCAAGAGATGATTAATATACATTAAGAATTAATACAGTCCCCTTTTTGCGTTTTTATTATTTCCTTTGTTTCCTTCATTCACTACCCTCCAAAAATTTTGGAGGTCAGAAAAAGGAAAGGTGGGAAGGAGGTGAAGGAGAGAGCAGACGTGTTATTTCCTCTGTGTGAAATCCTGCTGTTGCATCTGAGATTGACCCTTGGTTTTTAATTAACAAAATCCCCACCCCCATTCCTTATCTTCTTAAGAAATCTCCAAGCATATAATCTACCCAACCTACACTGAATCTGGGGATATCTTTGGAGCTAAGGTCACACCACCTCCATCTGTAAATGCATTCTCAGCTGGGAGCTTTTCCGTGGGGCTGCACCTGTGCCTCGAACAGCACTTTCTTTTTGTGTCAAAAACATGGGATGGAGTTTCCTTGAAGACACAGCTGCTGGAAACTCAGACTCCAACTCCAAGCCCAGCTCCATGTGCCATCCAGCATCAGGACCAACCAGGATGAGCTGGGGCTTGGCGCCATGTGGGGCTAGGGAGGAAGAATGGGAGCTGGGGGATGCAGGGCAGTCCCCTCAGTATTAACGAACCCCACAGGAGTATCCTCAACCTGCACCTCCTTCTAGGGAACTGGGGTCTGGGTGCCCAGCCCAGACCCAGGATACAGTGGAGGCGGCAAATGTCCTCTCGGAGGCAGTGAAGAAGAGCCAGAGCCAGATGGGCGATCTGGTGCTTCTGGTTCAGTCATGTGGGAAACCAGCAGCAAAACCTGCTGCACCTTGGGTGCAGGCCACATTCGTGAGTCATGGCTGAGGCAAGGACGGCAGCCAAGTGTGAGCTGCTGGGAAAGCTGCAGGGTGAGGCTGTGTGTGAGAGGATGGGTCAGCACCAGGGACACCCACCAGGCTGGTGGAGCAGGGCAGCTGCACAGGAATGCAGGACTCACTGGCATCAGGAAGGACAGCCAACACTGGGCAAAGCCAAAGGCATGCACCATCCCTCTGGCTCTCTGCTGTGTCTTGTCTGTGTGTGTACACACTGTCCCACAACCAGCTCTTCTTACCTGCTCGTTAACTCTCAAAGCATGGGTGACTCTGGTATAATCCTTGGGTCTCACAGGGTTTAATTTTTTCAAGCAAGAAAGTAAATGGCTGCTTCGGCAGCAGCTGCTTCTTTCTCTTCCTTGCTCTTGTAAAACAGTGTTCCTCCAACATGAGTGTTC